AGGGCAACAGTTTGAATCCAATCCCTTGTCAACTTGTTCAAAAAATAATAATAATAATGCCTGTCAAAAACAAAGAGGAAAATATTTATATAATATCCCATTTTGGGCCTACAATCCTCAAAATAAAATGAAGTATGTAATTGGACAACTTAATGAGCTAACTCTATTTTATTCGTCTGACTTCTCTCAAATTTTATTTTACTGGCTTTCTTTTCACCTTCCAAAGTTTCAAATCCAATTCTACTGAACTTGTCCACAACTCCACATGTCCTTTTAGAATTGAACACGCCTAAAGCCCAATTACACATTGAATTTATATAAGGGAACCCAACCCAACATCTAAGAAAAGCCGCTTAAAATAAAAAAAAAAAATCTAAGAAAAGCCTCTGAGCAGGACAACGAAGTCCACTAGACCCGGAAAAGGAGTGAAGCCCTGAAACAGCGACAACAGAGTTGGTTACCCAATCTGCAGAAGCACCCTCTTGTAGCACTTGAAGAATTTTGATAGAGTAATCTCTTTTAACAACAATTCGTTGAAGACAAATTCTCACAGCAGCTATATGGGATATATATCAAGTGAGTAGATGGTTGTTTATTGATTCACACATCAACCACATTAATTGAATAGAGTAAATAAAAGTTACCATCAACAAACATTATCTATAAATAATTTTTGTGAGAATTTAACACCCTATTGTCACCTCATTTATGTTTTAATTAAGGATGTGTAATGTATATTCTGCTTGAGTTTTAGGGATTGGATGTTTGGAATGTTGGTATGTACTTAATTGAATCTTGTTCTGGTCTAACTCTTAGTAAGTTTATAAATGTATGGATTAGAATATCTATTGTACTATTTGATAATAAAAATTTGATTTGTCAAAAAAAAAAAAAAAATTGATAGTTGCTATAGCAAATGCCCTCGATCCGTTTCTAAAATGAGTCGTGGATAACCAATGTTCCATGCCATCACCAAAGCATGCTTTACTCCTGTTGGGTTGAGTCGGCATTTCAGCCAACTTTCAAGGCTTTTGAGGGTCAGGGATTCTGGCACTGTTAAAGACATTACCAGCTGGTCACTTTGACTGAATAATTATCTTCCATTCGTATTCAGCCGAACACGATTCCTTGCGTTGTATTGCTTGTCTTTTTTAATTTGACATTCATGTCCATGTTTATCTTCGAGATTTCAAGGAAAAAAAAATGGACAACAAAGAAAACGAAAGAAATTTTCGAACGGGAACAAAGTTCTATATATGCTGTTTTTTCTTTCCCATTATTTGAAGCGTAAGAAAAACAACAAATGGGAGGTGTTTTCATCTTTAGCTTTGCAACTAGAGCATAGATTGCGTGTAAAATGAGATAGATTAGAGAGATGAGAGAGAGAGGTCGAGAAAGGGTGCGAGGTAAT